ATGAATGAATGAATGAATGAATGAATGAATGAATGAATGAATGAATGAATGAAGCTGCTCCAGAGAATGTTCCACCTTGGTTGTTGTACGTTTTATGGGCTGATTGACTGTGTAACGGCCAAACAGCCCGAAAAACCTACAAAAACCATTGGATCCTGGCCATGAAAGCCTTCAACAATACAATGTTCTACCTTGTTTGTTTATGATACATGGTGGTGGTTTTGAATGCCTGGTGAAGATCACAAATTTATTTATTTATATATATATCCCGCCTATCAAATGCTATCAAAAGAACTTTGAAAATAGGTGTAGAACACTGATGTGAGAGTTACAGCCTGCTTGGACTATGGAGCATGACTCTGTTGATGGGAGTGCTCCCTAACACACCAAAACAAATCTACTGTGATCGTCACCAATGCCTGAAGCAGCCTGAATGGCAGACTCATGCCAACACTAATGTAAGAGGTCAACTAACAACACTGATAGTCAAACGATATCACAATATCTGTTAATTCCTGTGGAAGGAAGGCATGGGCTGCTTCTGAATTAGTTATTATTAAATTATCCACATCAGCCAAAACTGTGATTTCTTTTCAATGACATAAAATATTAAAGTCAGATAGGAGCTTTAAGCTGAAACAAAGATTCTTCTGAAGAACTGGCCACAAATCTGTTACTAAGGGGCACTTTCCCATCTATTGGAAGACAATTATGCCTTTAATTTGAATATACACTGCCACTGGAGCTCTATATGTTGTAAACACTCTTGGCACTGTAGCATATTTAAAGGGAAGTGAGATGGGCTTGAAGAAAAGGACCTATATAAAAACCTCAAGAACATGGCCACACAGCCCGAAAAACCTACAACAACCAGAGACCTATATTCCTCTTTCTCCTTATGTTGTTTGTGTCTGGACAATTCAGATAAATCCATCTGAAATCTTTTACATGCAGAAGAGTCTTTTGATAGTGATATCACATACACTGTCAGTGCCAAAATAGTCAATACCAAGGGAAATGTGAGTGTGCTTGGGACTGCAGGGGTGCAACAGAGCTACACCTGGGGCCCTAGAGGCTGCATGCTGTCTACAGTCTGCACTTTAGCATCCCAGACCTAAAGTAATGAAAAAGGATTCACTGCCTATTAGATATAAAGACCTGTTAAGATGGCTTCTTGTGTTTAATGTCCTCCTGAGAATAACATAATTTCTCAATGATACAATATCTCTGTGACCATGTGCATATATTATATTCTAGTGATGAGGCATAAAATCATCATAAAACAATGGCAAATTTCCAAATCATGCTTTATCTGTGAAAAGATGCCTTTAGGAAAAATCGTGTACAGAGTAATAAATCTTTAAACATTCATTGTTTCTGTTTCAAGATAAAATTTGACACTGTTCTTACAACTAGTTTAGCATGACAGTTTTTTTAAAAAAATTGTTTATGTCAGAATTCTGGAATAACTTAATCACTTACCCGCCTTTAATATAGTCAAGAAATGAAACTTCTGTTTCCACTAGGAAGGAAAGTAATGTTACCTGAGAGCAAGTGACACGGAACAAGTAATGAACATTAATCTTAAAAACAATCATTTAAAAGCTTATGTGCAATAATGTACAATCTTGCAACTTTATTTAAAACTTCTACAGCATGTTGGAGTGAAGATGATAAGTACTGCATTTGGAACTGGCATGTATCAATAATCCTATCTACACTTCTCATCTCTCCGGCATGGGTGATAAAACTACAAGGTGAGGTGTCCTGTAAAAAGTGGCAAATTACAGGGACAGAAACAGATTGCTTAATGCAATACTACTGCATGACAATTGTTTTAGTCACAAATATGGTGTGACTTGTTTGTACCTAACTCCTGCCCTGGCTTCGTTAAAAAGAAAAAAGAAAGTAATATAACTGTATCTTGTTTCAGTAAGATAAGGAACCATACAGTACTCTTAACTTCTAAATTGTTTTGGAACAGGCTTCAGTTAAATCAGTGCTAAGTTGCTTAAGAGCTCCAAGCAAGTTTATGTTAGAATACCTTTACCCAGCTCCTTCAAGAAAAAGTGAAAGAAGCCCTGCAGATTCTTGAGAAAAACTACATAAAATCAGCTTTCATGCAGTATCTTTATTAGGGCTGACCAAAGAATACTTACAGGTTTGGGCCTTTTGGTTGGTTCTAATAAAGATACTGCCTGATGTGAAACACTCAAGTTTCTTCAGACAAGCTATAACACAGACAATGTTGAATTAAATCTATCACACTTCAAGATGTGTTAGAAAGGATGGAAAATCATGTACTTAACTGTTCCTGAATTAACATATTTTTTCTTTTTCGCCTTTTTTTTGGGATTTATTACCTAGAAAAATAGGTTAACACAAGATGTTAGCTGTGGTTAGCTGTATGTATATAGAAACAAAGAAGTCTCCAGATACTCTTTAGGTAGTGTCTCAAATTTTTGTAACAGAGCCCCATTCCATATGTAGATCCCAAACACTCTCAAACTTCAAACATCCTGCAATCTGAATGCCACTGAATACCAATTTAATGACAAAGTGAGAGGATTTTTAAATTAACAAATAAACAAACACAAGACAACCAGTTTGAAAGGGGCATAGCTATAACCTTTAAATAAACCCCTGATATTGCATAAATTAATATGCCAATCAAGGTCTGGCCAGAACCCCGTGTATGTGTGTGGAGCAAGGGCCCTGCCCAGCGCTGGCAAAAAATTAGAGAGAACATTGACCAAGAATACGATTTGCTTTCCCCCACCTCCACTATCCTCACAGTTTTGTGGTCAGCAGCTATGGCTTATTTGAGTTGCCGTTGGATTATATTCAAAATTACATATCCCACTTGGCCACATCCCTGAAATCAAGCTTCAGAAGGGTGGGAAAGAGGGATTAAAGGCAGGCTTGTTCAAGTTTCTAAGAGGAAAGGAAGGCTTCTACATGCCCTGGGAGGTCAAATAGTCGAATGGAGTTGGTCACATTGTCTAGGGCCACAGAAAGAGAAATTAACAAACTGATTAAACAACACACAAGGTTTCCATGGAGGGATGGCACAGATCAGGCTTGCTTTAGACTCATCCTGGTTAAATGGAACTAGTTCTTACAGCAAGGGGAAGAAGCTTGCACTACTTGTTCATCTGGACGGTACAATGGGTACAAAGAAGGTGACTTCACAGATGGAGGATGAGAGATCCTTGATTGGTTGTTCTAAGAATTGTTCCAAATCCTGTAAGCTGAAGGGCTCTTTTGCCTTACTTCTGTTTACAGTATATCCTTCTCGCGGACTCCAAGACAGAAAGCATACACATTGCCAGGAGATAGTCACTCTATTTCCTGCTTTCTTCTTGGCAGCAAGACGTGACTTTAAGTCACTATCAGCTCTGACTGCCCTGAGAAGCATTCACTCTACACTACTTGCTGAACTCTTGGCCTGAATCTGAGAACGCAGATTAATGCTTTTAAGCTCAATCACCCATTCATATCTAATTTTAATAGCTCATTTGTCACAAAGCAGCTGAAGCAGTAAAATTTAAGGGAGAAAGGATCTGTTAACAAGACGGGCCAATGCATATGTGTACTAGCACGACTGCTGCATAGAGTGCAAAATGTTTTGGTTGTTTTGACTAGCTCAACTTGTGCAGCACTTATGTTCCACTGAAATTAGCATGGCAATTTGGCTATAGCTTCCTTGAATTGCACCAATTCCAATGAAAATTAATCACAACTAATTAGATACGGTCAAGAACTTAGATAAGACGAGATACAGAAAACTGTTTAAAAATGATACAGGAAGGAAGGAAGAAATGTCCCCCTTTTTCAACATTCACATGACTAATCTTGTGATTTAATACAAGGAAAAGGTACTATTTATTCATTTTTCTTCAGCTGATCTTGGTAAAAAAAAGAAAGAAAAAAAGAAAATAAAAGAAAATAAAAGGAAAAAAGCAACATTCTATTTCCAATAACGGTCAGGCAGATGTCCTAGGAAGCCAAGAATTACACAACTGCCTTCTTTAGGGTGTTAACAGTCTGATACCAAATAAGGTTTGAAGCATAGTGAGAATATCGTGGTTCATATGAAGTCCTGCCTCTCATGTCTCCACCTTACTAGGAAGTCAAGTAGACCTTTGTGCTCAGAGCCTAAATGTGCTTACAGTGTTGCCATGACTGGAAATAAGTAACTTTATAAACCACTTACTTGGCAGAAAATCAATTTGCCAGCCACATCCAGCACCTCCTCAGAAAATCTCAAAATCCAAGAAGGCTCATGTGAGTTGATACAATCCTTCAAACATTCTGGACCCAAGCCACGTAGGGCTTTATAAATAAAAAACAGCACTTTGAATTGGGTCCATTAACAGACTGGCAGCCAGTGAAGCTCCCTGTAACTAGTGCCAGTCAGCAGTCTGACTGCAGCATTTTGAACCAGCCGAAGTTTCCAAACACCCTTCAAAGGCAGCCCTACATATAACACGTTGCAGTAACTGGACTTCTCAAGGAATGGACATAGCTGGTGCACCAGTTTTAACTGTGCATATGCACTCCTGGTCACCGAGACTTGTGCAACCAAGCTCAGGGTTGAATCCGGGAGCACATCCAAGCTGTGGACCTGACTTTTCAGGGGGAGTGTAACCCCATCCAGTACAGTGAATCCGTATCCCCTGATGTGCCTTGTGACTGATCAGGAGCACCTCTGACTTGTTTGGATTAAGCTTTGGTTTATTAGCGCTCATCCAGTCCATCACTGACAATAGGCAGTGGTCTAGGAACAGAACAGCTTCCTTGGAATCAGATGGGATGGGGAGATAAGAGTTGGGTGTCATCAGCATAGTGATGGCACCAACCCCCATGACTTCAGACAACCTTTCCTAGAACTTTCATGTAGATACTGAGTATCATGGGGGAGAAGACTGAATCCTGGTGGACACTACAGGCCAATGGCCAGGGTGTTGAACAGGAATCCCTCAATACCACCTGCTGAGTTCGGCCATCCAGGGAGGATCAGAACCATTGTAGAACAGTAACTCCATGACCCACCCCAGAAAAGCACCCCAGACAGATACCATGGTCCGTGCCATCAAAAGCCACTGAAAGGTCCAGCAAATCAACAGGGACACACCTCCCCTGTCTGGTTCCCAGTGGAGGTCATCCACCAAAGCTGTCTCTCTTCTGTAACCTGGCCTGAAACCAGACTGAAATGGATCTAGATAATTTGCTTCATCCAGAAACCTTTGGAGTTGAGACACCAGCACATACTCCAAAACCTTGCCCAAAAATGGAATAACGGAGAAAGAACAATAATGATAAAATACAGTGGGATTCAAATAGGGTTTTATATATATATATCTACTGCCTCTTTAAGACATTCTGATACCTTGCCTTGTTGCAAGAAGGCATTCACTTCTCCTCTTATCTACTCAGGCAGTTCCCAACCCCCAGGTGCTCTTACTTGGACATAACTTTATGTCTGCACAAACAGGATTTTGCCCACTGATGTAAATTTTTTAAAATTTTAATATATTTTAACAATCTCCCTGGGGCGTAAATTAACCCAGTGGTTAACAGACTGCTTAGACTGATTGAACTCTACACGTTCAAGGTACTGAAACCAGAATGAAGGGAAAGCAGAACTGGAGTGCTCTCCCTATGCATGTGGTGAGAATGGGTCATTCCATGTCAAATCAACCAATGAAAAATCCATTTTGGAACTTAATGTTATGGATTTGGTTCATTTTTGGTACAGTCACACTCTTAGTCTGTTACAGCAAAAACAAGAGGAAGTTTCGATGTGCTGTTCAAAGAGGCCTTTGGTAGCATCTCCTCCCTTTAATATACTTAGAGACTGATGCTTTATTTAAGTGACTTATATTTGCCGTTACCTCTGGAGGTTTTTTTTTTCCTTCAAAACTGTTGTTTTGTCTTGGTGGGTGGGCTATTTTCCCTTTTATTACTGTTAGCTGCCCAGAGTAGTGCTTTGTCACTAGAGGAGACAAGATAAAAATGAAACAAACAAACATATACTAGTTCTTGCTTTTGCTATAACACACTAAGGGTGTGACTACAAAGTGAGGGAAGTGCAAGTTAATGCACATTCTCTAGCAGGAAAGTCACACTGGAACATTCTGTTCTCTTCGATATAAGTGGCCACACAGGCAAAGAAAGAACAGCCTTCTAATTGCAGTTCTATTTAGATGGCACGGTTCAAAGCAACTGCCTTGAAAGGGCTTCCCTGCTTCAATGACTCTGTTTCCTCATCTTATCTTACTCACAGGAGAGCATATTCAACTTTAAATAACAAACAAACCAGAGGTCTGCCTATCTTGGAGAAGATGGAAAAATCAAGTCTTAGGGGAAAATCTTAGGAGAGAGGCTTTGCAGAGACAGGTGACAGCTAGTGCTGTATGTGTGGGGGCACATGCACATGCATGCACACATGCTCTTCTTGCGCTCCCTTTGGGGCAAAAGATAAGGGGGAAGGTGCTTTTCCAAAGCATCTCTTTCTCTCCCCCCCATGTGTGCGCACGTGCGTGCATGCATATGCATGAGCTCTGTTGGTCTTTTCTTTCTGCATTGGTTCACACATTTTGAAACAAAGTGAAAAGATTCCAAGTTCTGTGATGGAGGCAAAACTAGATTGGGGGGTGTGGGACCCCAGGCTGATTTGCACTTTGAATGCTCTTGACAGAAATAAAAGGAAGGAAACAAGAATTTGGCTACATGTGGAACATTCAGGAACTATGAAAGAAGAAAACAGTTATAAGGAAAACACCAGTTTCAGAAATACCTCTCAACCTTGAAAAACTTATCAACCCTGAATTGCTAAGTGAAGAAACATTTTTCAGCATGACCCCTGCATTTAAAGATAACAGGTTTTAAGATAACATTATCAACAAGAAAATCCTTTTAATATTAATGCAGTTTTAGGCTTGAGTGTGTTCATTAACGTGTTAACTGTTTAATTTCATTTTAGAAGTGATCAAAATTATTGGGCATAAATATCTAGAGTCGCATACAATGCAAATGGGTAATCGTTTAAAAAGAATTTAAAAATGGGATTGAAGGGTTCAAAGTCTCCAAAACAGTATCTAAAGTGGTTCAAACTGAGCTTTATAACTATTGAAATGGATCTACATAATTTATTGCAGCTGGTTGAGTAAGAGTAATTAACTTAAATGACTAAGGAGAGCTAGATAATATTACTGAACTCTTTAGAGAGTCACTGGGATAATTATACCAATTCACTGTACATCTTTACTCAGCTTCTGAAAACATTAAGTAAGAGTGAAAGCAATTGTGCAGCCATGCTTTCTCCAAGTCCTCAAGCCCATGGAACATATGTAGATCCTCCATGAGATCTTGCTGATCCACTAGGTGAACTTGAAAAATAAAGGGATGAGTCTGGGCATGCACTGGGATATCGGTGGAAGAGCCAGTCCCTGCAGCTAGCAATGCTCATTGGCCTGATACATAAATCCACAGATAAATTGGCAATTAATTGAAAACACAACAGGAAAAGTTAGAGGAGGAAGAAAGGACGCTTAGTGTACTTAAAATTTTGTACACACATACGGTAGCTTTTAAAAACATTACAGCGCTATTCAAGCACTATGGAGGGCTACATGGATGATATGGACAATGGCATGCATATAAGTCCTATCTCCCACATAAACACCATACTCAGAAGTGCCCTGTACAGTTGTGCGAAGATCTGAAGCAGAGCCTGTCAAATGTATTCAACTTAAGATGCTCGCTGCGCTCCCATGACCAGGAACCCTGTCTTATCAGAAAGAATTAGGAAAAAGCCAGAAAATAAGCAAATCTTTGTTTGGAGTTTGGGATGGAAAATTCCGACCATGCTTACAAGGGAAGGTGCTTGAGACCATGCCTCCCAGTCATGGAAAATTCCGACCATGCTTACAAGGGACCATGCCTCCCAGTTGACTTTGCAACCTGGGTCTGGATTCACCTCTTAAAAGAAGACTTGGCACAGGCATCTGCCATGAACTTTTGGGACTCAGACCTAAAAAATTTTCTGCACTGTTCATGAAGGGGTGGTACACAGTCTGAAGAATTGGGAGATTACTCACAAAAGCTTGCAATCTGTGTGATTTTTAAGTGGTTTAATAAAGGTATATAGATAATAAAGAACCTGGACAAGACGGAGGTCCTGAGGGTGGGTGGTCCCTCTGTTAGCAGTTTGGGTGACTTCCTTTCGTTTGGGGGGACGACTCTCGCCGCAAAGAGCGAGGTTCGCAGCTTGGGGATACACCTGGACCCGGCGCTTTCCATGGAAACCCGGGTGGCGTCCGTGGCCCGCTCCGCCTATTTTCATCTATGGCGGATTGCCCAGCTGCGACTATATCTTGATGACTAGATTGCCCAGCTGCGACCATATCTTGATGACTACTCGTCCATGCACTCATAATCTCGAGATTATACCATTGTAATCCGCTCTACGTGGGGCTGCCTTTGAGATTGATGCAGAAACTTCAAATGGTGCAGAATGTGGCAGCCAGGCTTCTTAGTGGGGTGAGGAAATAGCATATCTCTCCCACTCTGGCTGATTTGCATTGACTTCCCATTCGTTTCCGCACTGACTTCAAAGTGGTAATGATGACGTACAAAGCCCTAAACGGTTTGGGACCTCGATACTTGGCAGATCGTCTTCTCCCACCTAGATCTACCCGAATCACCTGGCATAGCCAGCAGGGACAGTTGAGGGGCCTAACGCCGAGAGAGGCCTGGAAAGAAAGAACAAGAAACCGGGCCTTCTTGGCAATGGCCCCTTGGCTATGGAACAGTCTCCCAAGAGAAATCCGTCTGGCATCCTCGCTGGGTATTTTTAAAAGCCATTTAAAAACTTGGCTCTTTAGGCAGGCCTTCCCTGCAGTCAATAACTGATCTTTATTCTTTGTCTTTTAAATTATTTCATCTTGGCAATGATCTAAAATAAGTGTTAAAATTATGATGTTTTAAATGATTTCTATGATATCTGTTATATTATGATGTTTTATCATTTGTGTAAGCCACCCTGAGTAGACTTTGTCTGGGGGGGCGGGGTAAAAATCTAATAAAGTAAAGTAAAGATATCACCTAACTCTTGCCTTGTCAGAGTTACTGATCACAGAAGCCTTGTAACCGTATTCAGCAAAGTGTGCTTACAGGCTCCTTTGCAGACCTTCACATTAAACATGCAGAGGTCTTGCTGATTCCAGATGGTGTAGTGATGTTGGGGATAGAACTGACATCACGACACATTTAAACTTCTTTCCCTCCAGTTCACACATAACACCTAACTAGGTCTGACTTCTGTTTAAGATACTGCAAGATGTTGTGATATTCATCTATATTCATGACAATCTACAGGGATGTTTATTTATAAATACTGTACTGCTGGTTGCAGGGCCACTTGCACAAACCAGTAATGTATGTTCATGTCTGTCCTCTCAAGCAAAACCATTTATCCTAGCAGCAAAGCAATTCATTTCAAAAGGTGCAGACACACCGACTGGAACAAGAGAAATTTATTTCACATTTTTTGGGTAGCAAGTATTCTCATAATTGCTGCAAGAATGAACTATTGCTGTTTTGGAAAGCAGCTAAATATGGACAGATGCAGTACAAGGATACACTACCTCAGAGCTGTACTCAACGAAGTCTGTAACAGCTATCAGGCAGTCACTGAAACTTGCCTGACAGTTATTCACAATCATCTTGACTTTTTTAACCATTATCCATAGTTATTCACAATCATCTTGACTTTTTTTTTACCATAATCCCTAATTAGAACTGGAGGCAGAAGAAAAATTCACCAATCACTTTTGTCTCTTCTCCTCTGCACAATGAACAACGCCATAGCTAAGTCCTCTGCTTTTATTTTCTTTGAAGAAGCATGATGACTTACTAAGACATACATCTGGAAGTTCTAGTTCCATTTCTGTATACAGTTTTTTAATTTTCTTCTTTTCTGGCTACCTTTCTCCTAGTGTAGAGACCCAAGGAGGATCATAAATAGTTAAAATATAGATACAAATGAAAACTAGAGATTGAGATACTCATACAGTATTTGTATACAAATACAAGTATCCCTGCGCAGCTGAAAATATAGATACAAATGAAAACTAGAGATGGAGATACTCATCCAGTATTTGTATACGAATACAGGTATCCCTGCGCAGCTGGACCTAATGAGGGTCCATCCACCCCCCAAGACCGGGCCATCCACTCATGTATCCTGCTGCAGTGCTGGTCCCTCTCATCCTTTCAATGGCATCTGGGCAGCGCTGGTCCCTCTCATCCTTCCAATGGCATCTGGAGCTTCACTCTCTTTCTGCTCAGCTGGCCACTCAGTGGGGAGACTTGTCCTCCTGCCCCTTGCCTGGAGTGCGCAGCCAAGCAGGAAGAGAGCAGAGCTCCAGGAGCCATTGGAAGGATGAGTGGGACCAGCACCACAACAGTATTATCTTTGTATAATATCCCCCTCTCTAGTGAAAACACAATGGCCTAAATCCTCTCACTTTACATAGTAAGTTGCACTAGCATAGGCCTGCTGAATCAGTGGGGAGTTAATCAGGCCTACTCTAGCTGCAACATACAAGTTGCAAATGGAGTATGGCCATTTGAATCACTGGAACTTATGGAGGAGCTGACTGTTCAAATACCCACTGATTCTGCGTGTCTGCTCTAGTGTGACTTACTACACCGAGCAACAGGATCTCAGCCAGTAAGTTATATTTTTTTTAAAATTAAATATAATTATACTGTTGTTGTTACATGCTGTACAATCACTTCGAACTTAACCATAACCCTAACGTATCTTTTCAAGGTATGCAAGATATTCAAGTAGTGGTTTACCATTACCACACCTCACTGAATGTGCATGTCCGAGCAGGGATTTGAACCTAGGCCAACATTCTATCCACTAAATCACAGTGGCTCTCATAATATAATAATAGTATTTTAAATATACTTTGAAGACCATCAGTCAAAAACACTGAAAAAACAAAACACAGACACACACAAGTAAGCACTAAAACATACAGTATCCTGAAATATTTATATAGTGATACATAATTTTAAAGCTATTATCATAAATGTATAAAATATTTCAAGCCATGCTAAAAAAATTAACTTGTTTTATGTAGTGGTATCCATTTTCGGGAAGGAGCTCACAAATACATTGATTGCATTCACACAATATACATATGCCTTTATACACAAATAAGATGTCTACCTTTGATCTAAATGCTCTGCTTCCCATAGTAGCAGTGAAAACCAGAATACTGTAATACTGAATTTTGTACATGGCTTGTGCAACTTTGCTGAGGCTAAATGTGGTTAACTAACAAGGTGCCAGGGTGTGTCAGTCACAGGCCTAGTCATGCACTAGACTTTAGAACTTGGATGTACAGTGGTGCCTCGTGCAACAGTCGCTCCGTAGAGGGGAGGGCGCGAAAATGGCTGCCGGCCATCCCGGAACATCGCACAACGGTGAGTATTCGACCATGTTTAATGCGTTCCAATGGCTTTTTACTTTCCGTTGAGCGATGTTTCACACAGCGAGGGTTAATCCGGAACGGATTAACCTCGCTGTGTGAGGCACCACTGTACTCTAGCATCTCAACAAGTTATATAAGCCTCATCTGGACAGCCACAGAATTCTGGCCAAAGATTGTTAGGAAATATAGGAACTGAATATTGGCATATGTGAAAAAGGACATCAACTGTTCAGTATTTGTGATCTAAGAGATATAAAAAGACATGTTCAAATTACTTACCTCATACACATTAAACTGTGATTGGCCTCTGGATAATTCTCTAAAACTTGTTGTGAATTCTCCAATAAAGTCATGACTAAAAAGAGAAACACAATTTCAGATTAACAAAGTAATAGCTGAATGTGGGAATAAAACATCCCATAACATCTGATTCCTCTAAGGAATATTACACTGAATAAATCAGCCAGATCCTTACTCACACTTCTTTCATCTGACCTTCAAAGTAAAATGTAATTCATTTAAATATGCATAATATATCTTCATTTTCAAGAAGTAAGAATGAAAAAGTTTTCCTCATATCACTAAAAGTCTACAGTACTGAACTGGCAAAATTAATCACCAGTGGAGTACAAACAGTCAGACAAACCTTGATTTAGTATACAAGTTGACACTCTTTCTGTTCAATACATTATCATAATCAGTGAATATTGTTCATTACATTTTAAATCTCAAACACTGAGAAATAAAAGACATTAAAACTGAGGTTCTTAGGATTCTAAGAAGAACTCTGTGTTGAGTCTGGAGTCTAGGAGTCTCAAATGAAAATGGCAGACCCTTTTTACTACTTTTGTGTAAAGTAGTTAAATTGTATAAACTCTTAAAGTAGACAAGAAATTTCCTCATCTGAAAATGCATAAGGAAGAAGTTTGGTACACATGTGATTGCAAATCAAGCTTGTGTACAACCAGAAAAAAAACAGTCTATTCATTTCCTTTTAACATACACTCATATTCCCTTGTTTAAAATGTTAGATTTAGAATCAATGGATGGCTATACCTTCACAGCTCAATCCCAGCCCCAAACTGTCAAAACTATAATAAGTATGTAAATAACGGCATTCCTTTTCTATATTTAATTTATGAAATGCAACAGAATAATTACCTTCCATCTCTATCCCAGTCATATACCTCTACCTTGATTGTTCTGAAAGGGAAGAAATAACAACTGGGACATGAACATTAAACTGGGACATGAACATACATTAAAATAATTATCAACATAAGAAATAAAACAAGTACAGTGGACCCTCTACTTAAGGAATTAATCCATATTGGAATGGTGGCTGCAAGTCGAAAAGTCTGTAAGTCGAGCCGTCTGAAAGTCGAGGGTCCACTGTAATGTGCTTGATCATTTGCATTATGCATATCCACTTCTAACGATTAAGCTGTAAGGCTGACAGCCTTTTGTTTTTTAAAAAACATTTAAAATATTTAAATTTCATAAATGGAGGGTTTCCTAGATCTCTACTTGTTTCGTAAAAGGCAACCTGAAATGGAAGGTTTTTGTCTGATAATGGAAGGATGGAGTGGGGGGGGGGGCAATCTGATTTCTCAGGGTAGTGCATTCCAAAGCCTGGGAGCAGCCACTGAGAAGGCCATGAAGAAAACAGTACCCACCATACCAAACACACCACATATCCACTTCTAACGATTAAGCTGTAAGGCTGACAGCCTTTTGTTTTTTAAAAAACATTTAAAATATTTAAATTTCATAAATGGAGGGTTTCCTAGATCTCTACTTATTGCGTAAAAGGCAACCTAAAATGGAAGGTTTTTGTCTGATAACGGAAGGATGGGGTGGGGGGGCAATCTGATTTCTCAGGGTAGTGCATTCCAAAGCCTGGGAGCAGCTACTGAGAAGGCCATGAAGAAAACAGTACCTACCATACCAAACACACCATAATACTTCATTTATCTCTTATACTGCAATTCTATATCTGCTTTCTTAGGACTACAACCCACTATGCATACTATATGGATTACATAATGTTAACATTTCATTTATTAGGAGTTTTGGACTGATGGCATGCATTTTTATGCAGTTTTATAGAGAGCAATAGTCAAAAAGGTTCAGTCTCTCTTACCTGTCATAGTCTCCATTACAAAGTGCTCTAACAGAAATCTTGAACGCTTGCCACACTGGATTTAAGGTATTTTTTACAACTTCTGTCTTGTGGCAGACTGTAAAGCTAGAAAACAATGTTTAACATGTTACTTGGGATACTATAGTCTGGTTGCCTGTTTGTGGGAGCTTATTACAAATTAAGTGAAAATAAAAAATTTGGGGGGGGGGACCCCATGGGAATGACTTTAATGCTATCTGTATTACACATATAAACTACTTTTAAAACAGATGTAGAATTAGGAACGCATGATCAATGGCAGCATGAAGAACAGTATATGAGTAATAAAAGGGAGTTCACATGAGCAGAGTTCTGGATGGCAAACATTTCCATGATGTATCCTATGGGAAACAAATACACACACATCTGAACCATTCTTATGCACTGATCTTTGGTGGAAGCTCCTGATGAACCTGTGCTTTGGTGTAGAGTCTCTGGATTTTCTCAGCCTGATGGGCATCTTGGAAGTATCTGGGTGGCCACCATTGCTAGAAACAGGATATTAGACTAGATGGGTCCTTTGCCTGATCCAGACAAGCTCTTTGGATGACTGCAAACAATATGAGATGACTTCTGAGATATGCAGAGTGCCTTTCCCTCAGCACATTGCCCATAAATATCCTTCGGCACCTCACACAGTGTAATATGTATTATCATGGAACCTTAGGCAATGGAGTGAATGTAACAGGATGGAAAAGAAAGGTGTCAGAAGATAGAATGGGAAGTCCAAAAATACAGAATCTGCCACTATACATAATTCAAAGATCCCTCAATCCTCCTCACTGATTTACTATGAAATTAGCATTCTAGAATCCTGCTTGTCTTCCCATTATGGACTTACTGCAGCAAGCTAACCAAACATAATGAGCAGAACACTTTATTATTATTAGCATTTAGTGTAGTTTTTTTTTATGAAGCTCAGTTTTGCTACTGCATACATACAAAATATTGATGGAATGTTTGAAAAGCCACTTGAATCAGTTCTACAGAGGAAATGTCCATGCTTTCATCATATATAAAACTGAATGGTGATCTACACTTTAAATTTAAAGTGATGTTGAAACCATAATAGCACAATGAAAGAAAATAACTGTTTATATGTTGTATATAAAATTATTTGTTCTCTATCAAAGCTTGCAAGAATTCATAAAATGTTTTGTAGAAGAAATAAGTTGCACCAACCTGCCATCTTCATTACTTCGAAAAAATACCAGGAAGGGATCCGATTTCCCAAAGAAATCCTTCTTGTCTAACTTATTTGCACAAAATTGCATCATTACAGCATCCTAATAAAAGGATACATTTAGCAGTTTAATACATAAATTATAATAAAATATTATCTTTTATAATGTAAGCACCACATTTGGATTTCTTTTATCATAATAACTTGAAAGTGAAAGAGAAGTAAAAATTAATTACTGGTTATATATGCTTTTGCTACAAAAAGATAAAATAGACTATCAAGTTCCTATATGAACAAAAATTTTAATCAAGACTCAGACCCACTTCACATAAAATTAATGTCATATGAAGAAGTACTAATGAGGTGAGTAACCTATCTATGCACTACCTTGGGCTCCAGGATGAGCACTTTTATGACGATGTTCAAAGAAACAAACAAACCCTGTGTACCAAAAGAGATACCAGGAGAACATTTTTAGAAGAGGTAGCTATGTTAGTTGCTTCTAGCATATCAGGTCACAAACAAAAGAAAAGAAAAATTAAAGAAGACAAAAGTGTTGCAGCACTTTAATTGCTGGGGGTTTACAGCAAAATACTGTATTCACGAGCAGGGACCTGCCACGAGGACTGCTTATGACATCATTGCCTCCTCTGTATTTTCTGAATTGTATGGAGAAAAACATTGTAGATCAATCCAGAAAGAAAGGTGCTACTCACTGAAGGGTTGAGATGTTGAGTTTATTTTCAGACATCTCCACATGGTGATCATGTTATTATGCAGAGAGTTTTACCTTCAAATCCAGCAGTTAACAAACTGGTGCTTTTTGTGCATCTATGGCCTGTTGCTTAGCACAGGAAATTGCACTAGACTAGGTCCACTGAATCAACAGAAATTTGATAAGTCAACTAAAGTAAGTCACAACTACAGTAAGACAATTTAAATCAATGGAACTTATACAGGAGCTGATTCATTAAATCTCCATTATTTCAGTGGGCCTACTCTAATGCAAATCTCTATGTTAAGGAACAGGATTTTGGCCTATATGTTAATCTAAATACTGCATATTAAAATATCAGTGCTGTTAAGCAATAATAAACATTATTACACATTGCACAGATTCATTGGAATACTGTCAGTACAAAGTACAGTGGACCCTCAACTTACGAAGGTCCCTACTTACGAAAATTTCAAGGTACAAAAAGCTCCGGCTTCAAAATTTTCATTCAACTTGTGGCCGGAGCTTCGGCCTATGAAAGGCGGGGAGAAGGCGTGGGAAATTCAAAGATGCCCCTGGTGCCCTCTGCCTCCCATCCCCGTTACCCTCTGTCTCCCATCGAGGGCAGTGGAGGGGGAGGGGTTTTGAAGCCTGGGAAGCCGAAAGCCGGCAGCAGGTGTGGAGCAGCTAGAGGGCAGCAGAGGGGTTCTGAAGCCTAGGTAGCTGAAAGCCATTCCATGCCCACTGCTGGCTTTCAGCTTCCTGGGTTTCAAAACACCCTCTGCTGCCCTCTGTCTCCCGTCCACGGTGCCCGCTGCCTCCCACAGGGACAGGAGGCAGAGGGCAACGGGGACGAGAGACAAAGGGCAGCAGGTGCAGCTTTGGAAGCCCGGGAAGCCAAAAGCCGCTCCGCACCCACTGCCAGGCCCACAAGCACAGGAGGCAGAGGAGGGAGTTTGGAAGCCTGGGAAGCCGAAAGCTGGCAGCGGGCATGGAGCAGCTTTCGGCTTCCCGGGCTTCCAAAGCTGCACCCGCTGCCCTCTATCTCCTGTCCCCGGTGCCCTCTGACTCCTGTCCCTGGCAGAGGGCACCGTGGACAGGTGACGGAGGGCAGCGGAGGGGGTTTCGAAGCCCGAGAAGCCAAAAGCCGGCACGGATTAAATGGTTTTCAATGCATTTCTATGGGAAATGGACCCTCAACCTACGGACTTTTCGACTTGTGGCCACCGTTACAATAAGGATTAATTCTGTAAGTCGAGGGTCCACTGTACTGTTTTTACTTGCCAGTCATTCTTCAAAGGTTGCAAAGATGAACCAGATTTTACTAATTAGAAATGGGTATCTACAGTTTTCATGGTAATTCATAAGAATGAAACAACTGGCTAAATCTAATTGTTAGTCCTAACTAAAGTACACCCACTGAATCAATGGGACTTTAGTAAGCTAATACTTAACCCAGGTCCCACTGACACTACAAATTTACTACAGTTAGGACTAACAGTTGAATTTAGCTCAATATACAGTGGTGCCCCGCACAGCGATGATAATTCATTCCGGATAAATTGTTGCTATCCAGAATCGTCACTATACGGGGCAAAAACCCCCATAGGAACACATTAAACCCTGTTTAATGCGTTCCTATGGGGGGAAACACACCTCTATGTGGAAATCCTCCATTCGGCCGCCATTTTCGCCACCCCGGTAAGCGAGGAAACCGCGCAAGAACGCTGCAGGTGGCCATTTTCTTCACCCGGCGGCCATTTTAGGAACACATTAAACCCTGTTTAATGCGTTCCTATGGGGGGAAACACACCTCTATGTGGAAATCCTCCATTCGGCCGCCATTTTCGCCGCCCCGGTAAGCGAGGAAAGCGCGCAAAAACGCTGCAGGCGGCCATTTTCTTCACCCAGTGGCCATTTTGGAACAGCCGATCAGCTGTTTAAAAAACATCGCAATGCGAAGATCGGTAAGCGAAACGCTTACCGATCATCGCAATGCAATGTTTGCCCGTTCAGAAGATCGTAATGCGATCGCAAAATCTGCATCGCTATGCAGATTCGTCATTAAACAGGGCGCTCGTTATGCAAGGCACCACTGTAGTATAGCAACAACAACAAAATTTTAATCTACCCGGCAACAGTTCAGTTCCTCTGCTGTCAGTATCATCATGCCACATTTCTTCCCAGGAATTCCCCTGTAACAAAACAGCATTAAGATGAGATTTTGCACATATATATCAAAGCATCTATATCACATCTAAATCAAGAAAACTTTCACAACTAACAGACTAATCAACTGACCCAATGCACTTCTATTCCAATATTCCTCATTAATTGGTTTGTTCCCTCCATCACATACTACTTCAGAAGTCCACTTTTCTCCTTGACTAAAATGAAAGTTTATTGGGCACACAGTGTGCTACTGACCCACAGCTTCTTTAATTTTACTCCTCCCCCATTCTAAATGCACTTCTGTTCCAATAGTCCCCATTAATTGGTTTGTTCCCTCCATCAAAACTACTTCAGAAGTCCACTTTTCTCCTTGACTAAAATGAAAGTTTATTGGGCACACAGTGTGCTACTGACCCACAGCTTCTTTAATTTTACTCCTCCCCAATTCTACAGATTACTGGGCTGAGTGACCAAGGTACTTTTGGTGCATGGACGTTGAGTGTAAACAAGCACGTAACAGAATATGTGTTTACTACTTCAATGGGAAAGTAAAGCAGATGCCTTAACGGGGAGTTTCCATTCTTTTTCTACATGAACAAAATTTATTATAATTTAAATGTGCATCTTAAATTGAATATTTTTCTATTTCATAATTTTTTTGTTTCCTAAAAAAAATCACTGAAATATCTGAGCCTCCTGTGATGGGCTGGGGTGTGGGAAATTAACTGTGCTTGTTTATATTTTGCTTAAGATGTGGAAATAGCCTCAAACACGTTCATTATTAATACATTTGGAAAACATATACTCCACCCTTCTAGTGCATTCACAACGCTAAGAGCGTCCTACAATAATTAAAACCAAACTCCCCTTACTGTTTATGGGTGGTAAAAATAAGTGAGATGTTGTAGGTCAGTAAGATGGGCCACTGTGGAGACAGGGACTGTGAGTTCACATCACTTTTGTGCCTCCTGGGAGAGAGGTCAGCCAAAATTGTCTCAAGTATGTATAGCTGATGGAGTTGTGTGCTCTGCCACCTGCACCCCAGTGAAGGTCTAGAGGAGGAGACTGGTAAACTACTTCTGAGTATCTTATACAGTGGTGCCTCGCTAGACGATTGCCTTGCAAAATGAGGGATTTGCTAGACGATGATTTTTTGGAGTGATGTTGTGCTTCACAAAACGATTGTTCCTATGGGCAATTTTCGCTGGACGATGTTTGGGTTCTTGCCTCGCAAGACAGGTTTTTTTTAACCCTGTTTTGTAAGATGGCTCCCCCCCCCAATTAGAACACATTACTGTACAGTACCTAGAAAACCCTTGGTGGCTGCCTGAAGTTGGAATCAACTGGACAGTGCAGAATTATTAGTATTAAAGAGAACTATTCTGGATTGCCAAAATAAAGAAAACAGCATAAAAACAGAAAAAGGCTCAGGAGATACCACACTACTTTTCTCTCACAATTAAAATCAGTTAGACGGGGAATAAAATCAATCACATGGGGTAAGACATCAATAGAGGCACAGCCACTGAGATAATCTGTAGCTATAGCTTCCCATTTCATCAAAGAACTCCTAGAGCCAAGACACCACTGTATATTTGCACTAGGAAAATGGAAAAACTGAGAATGGGTGCAAGCTATCCAAAAAGGCGCAGAAAAGTTTCTTCTTTTCCTAGTGAAGTCTTAACAACAGCCTAAAGGCTGGATGGATCAGCTTCTTTCTCCAAGAGAGACATCTACCGCTCCCTTCACTTACTTCACCATATTTCTCCTACCTCCTTTAAACAAACAAGGAAGGGCAAAAATGAAGCATGGAAACATATGATTTCATACTTCCAAGGATTATGCCTCCTTCCCTGAGCAAGGTTAAGTTCAAAGTATCTACAACACAAAGAGCAACTGCAATCCCACACCTCCCATCTTAGCTGGGGCAGGGCTGCAACCTTTGAAATGTGAGAGAGGAGGGTAAAGGTTAGTACCCATCCTCCATCACCTTGAATGTTTTGGATTAGTTGTGCAACATACTCCAGCCACTGGGAGCTTTGTAGCCATGCTAGCCAGTCAGCACTGATGACGAGCTACGCGAGCAAAGGAACCCATACAGTGGAACTTGAATAGTGAGTTTCCTCTCTAGCTGATCTATTTACTAATTAAGTCACCCTCCTTATTACCCATTTGCAGTATGAAAACAAAGTATCACAGCTATCATCCTCATTTTCATAATATGTTATTACTATGGATTTCATTAAGCAGTTGACAGGCTGCAATGCGGTTTTATCTACACGCTGGTTAGTACGTACTACCTTCTGAATTTTTGCCTCCCTTACAGCAATCCACATACAGTAGTTCCATTTTGTACTTTTGATTTTTATCATAGCTTCCATATATGGCATTCAAAGCACTTGGCTGGATCTATGTATTCTGGCGATAGGCAGGGCTCATGAAAGAACCCATAGTTGATCTTGGGCTGAGACTTCTAGACATATACCAGCCTAGAGGCCGTTGTGCCTGTTTCACATTTAAGTGCTGCAGGGATCCACACACATGGTCTCCCAAACACCATTACTCTGATGGATGCTTAAAGTATACCTGGGACAGGCACATCAGCTGGCAGGCAGGTCACCCAATGATTGAGTTCATTACCCTATACTGTGCCAAAACTCAGTCAGCACAGCTGGTGGTGAAGGCTTCTGGGAGTTGCAGTCCAAAACTCCTCAGTAACCCAAGGTTAAGAACCAGTGCCCTATACTGTGCCAAAACATGTAGCTGTATTCTTTATTTCATTTATCTTCCTTTTCTTCCCTTCTCAAACATGCCTAGCCATTGAGATGCAAGCATTATCTCTGAAGCAGCTGCTATGTTGAAAGTAACTAAATGTGAGAGTACACAGAAGTAATATTATCCACAAAATGTCCAACAATTTTTTCAAATAAACCACCAAGTTCCCTTCATCCATTCAGTTGATTCTTGATGCAATAGACCTTTAAGGACTTACAACACTGCGGAGTGATTCTATACAGATGTAATGGCAGCAGAAAAGATTTGTTTCTGGCTATTATTATGACAGAATGAGCCTTACAGTGGGCTCTTGTGTGCATCTGATCAGATTCATTCCATATTTTTGTTGGGATTATCCTGTTTCTTCAGTAAATTGTTTTTCCTAGATTCCTCTAGAAAACCAGAGAAAATCAAGGTGTCCATCTAGCTCCATCGGGGGAAATAGTGGGCTCTTGTCTGCATCTGATCAGATTCATTCCATATTTTTGTTGGGATTATCCTGCTGCTTTGTTTCTTCAGTAAATTGTTTTTCCTAGAATCCTCTAGAAAACCAGAGAAAATCAAGGTGTCCATCTAGCTCCATCAACAGGGGGAAAATACTACAAACTAACCTCCTGAACTTTCCAGATCATTTGCTCCTTCTCCTCGCCATGTCTGAGACATGGAGAATTCTGATGGGCAATGCTGCAGCTCCCCATTCTTATCCAGTCAGCTCTCTATAATGCATAAAAAGGTCATGTCCCTTATCCAGGAGCAAATCCTAAATGGCTATATTTTTTTCTATTGACAAACAGCATTCAGGCCTTGGTGGACAAGTGGACTGAAGGACAGAGAAAACAATGAATATATATCTCTCTCTTATCTTTTAATGCCAATTCTACTGCTCCCTCAATACCTCCCTCTGCCCTATACCTCTGGGCAAAGGCCAAAAATCTTGTTCTCCAAATACCCTCCTTCTTCCATTACAATCAATACTGCAATAATCTTTGCATTAAACCTCGAAGTTAGCCTTGTGTTGTAACTATTTGAAAAGAGAGTTTTGCTAAGCTAGTACAGCAAAACAACAAAATCTCCTGTGCCACATTCACAACATAGATATTATAGCGTGAACACTGTTAAAGAAGGCTATACAGTGGTGCCTTGACTTACGAACGCCCTGACCTACGAACATTTTGACTTACAAACAGCTCTGGCCACACAGTTTTGCTTTGACTTGCAGTCGAAGCTTTAACCTGGAAACAGAAAAAGGCAAGGGAAAAAGGTGGGAAATTCAAAAAACCTAACCGTTGGTGGCGAAAAGGCTGCTTCTTTGTAGCTCTTTTGCCCCAACGGTTAGGGAAAGGGAGGCTCAGCCTTCCAGGCTTCCTCCGTCTACCCCCCGGGAAAGCCTAAAGGCCGTGATCAGCGGTGGCGGGGGACCCCCGGGAGGCTGCAGACTGGTACGGTGCTGCTTTTTTTTCTTTTAAAAAAGTTATTCTGGGGGAATTTTGGGGGGTAGGTTTGGGCTGGGGGGTATGTTTCTGTGCTTTGTTTTTTTGGTGATTTTTTTTGTTTTTTGTTGTTTGTTTTTTGGTGATTTTTTTTGTTTGTTTTCAGTCCCAGCATGGGACTTGCAGTGTTTTATTTTTAATTTTATTTATTTATGTATTTATTCCCCAGCATGGGACTTGCAGTGTTTTATTTTTAACTTTATTTATTTATTTTTCCCCCTTCGGCCAGAACGGATTAATCAGTTTTCAATGCATTCCTATGGGATATGGTGCTTTGATTTACGAACATTTTGACTTACAGCCACCGTTCCAATACGGATTAAGTTCGTAAATCAAGGCACCACTGTACCTCACTTTGCATGGGACTTGCAGTGTTTTATTTTTAACTTTATTTATTTATTTTTCCCCCTTCGGCCAGAACGGATTAATCAGTTTTCAATGCATTCCTATGGGATATGGTGCTTTGATTTACGAACATTTTGACTTACAGCCACCGTTCCAATACGGATTAAGTTCGTAAGTCAAGGCACCACTGTACCTCACTTCGTACTTCAAGAAAGCTCATACTATAATACATTTTAAGCATTTAAGATGTGTCTTTATTCCGCTGCTGTCCCTGAAGGAGTGGCCATTTTAATCTCTAATCCGGTCGTCAAGCTCTGGTCTGTGGGTCAGTGCTGGTCCTCGGCCTGAGCCCAACCGGGCCGCAAAGACAGACCTCCCCCCCCCGCATAGGCTGTTTGTGCCTGTGCACGCAT